GATATTCTCAGAGTCACTGCCACTCTCATGTCCAAGCCGAACGGACAAGAGGAGTCGTTGCGAGCCGATGCTCAAGCGGGACTCTCGGTAAGCCCTTCTCTTTCTCTCTCTTTTGTGTCTTCTGAACACACTGACCTACTGTGAGGCTTCAATATCAAGTACCCTGGATATAACATACCTTGTCTCTTTGCATTGCCGTTGTGGAAAGTCACTTTCTTGAGGACTCCTCGTACTCTTGTCCAATCCTTTGCCCTTGGATACAGTGTACCAAGGGTATACAGTATGGATTTGTATGGTCTTTGGAGACCTTGGGTATGAAGTAGAGATTTGTACGGCCTTTGGAGGTATGTCAGTGTGCTGAACTGTTTCACCATACAAGACTACATGTATGTGTACACAGGGCTGGTGTGCACTTGAGCTGGTAGCAAGGTACATAACATTTAGACTCTGCATGCCTGGAGTCAGCCCTGCACACTAGTAAAACACTGTTTTGCATCGAAATTGGCAGAATGTCCTGGTTTCCAGGCATGCCATGAGCCAGTCGGTCTACACCCCTGGTTTCTGTTTCTAAATTGGTTTGTTTAGGTTTGTTTGTGCTTGTTCTTCTTTTTATTTATTTTTGACTTCTTCATTTTATTTACTCACGGTGCATTTTCTCTGGTACATCCTCAAATCTGTGGAGCACTGCTTTCTGATTTCAACTTTTGCCAGATTGAAACTAACAGCTCGGCTGGATCAGTGGTTATTAGCGGAGCAGCGAATGCCTCACAGTTCCTAGCTGCCTTGCGAACACTTACCTACGCTCACCAAGGAATGGCTGACATTTTCACTCACCAGCCGGATTTGTCCGACAGGTAAGGCGAGCAGATGGCAAAGTGGTTATTCAGTTGACCATGCGTTGTTTCCTTACTCAGTTGTACCACTCACATGAGTTCTCCACTAGCGGCTGCACCTTACTTCCTAGTAAGTTCCTACCGCTGTGTAACGTTCCACGATACAACCCATCACGCCTACCGTACTCGCCCAATCAGAGCCCTATCTCGAATAGTGCCCCAGACTCTGAGAGCCAGTGAAAAAAGAAAGTCTTATCTTGAATAGTGCCCCCCCCCCCCCCCCCCCCCCCCCCCCCGTAACCAAGCACGCGTGCATAGTTCGTGTTCTTCTGGTGATGTTCTTGTCTATGTCATTGCACTGGTGGTCTCAGGATCGAATATTGCAGTTCTTGTCGCCGTTTCTGTTGAGTCGTGATAGTTTAGAGTAAACTTTAGGCTCTGTTTTTCGTTGCCTTCTTTGTTTTTATGCAGGATAACGTAAAGTATACGTCATTGCGACCATTTAGTTGTACTGACACTGTGGCCATCACATTCTCTCTTCTTTTTTTATGCTTTAGAATCATTTTGGTAGAGGCGTATGACGATGCAGGTCTCCGGAGCAGTGCATCCATCACCGTCATCCTCTCGCGTGTCTGCAACCAGCCGCAGTACTTCATCACTACCGAGCCGGAGCTGCAGCGGCTGGCCGAGTGTTCCAGAGTGGACAGTGGCAGCGTTGTCATCTCCTGCGCTGGCGTGGACGGTGCCTGCACGATCACCTCACTCCATGTGCTGAACCGGCTAACAGTAAGGGCATAGCCGGTGGTGATTGTCTCAGTTTCTCTATCTTTCCAGGCAACACTTTGTGTGGTTGGTGCGAGATCCACGGTGCTATTGCTGCTATATGCCAGGAGGATATAGCAGTATCATTGTAGCTATGCTAGGAGTATATAGCAGTGTTATTGTAGCTATGCAGGGATCGATTTACTTTGATTTTTTTGCATAGCAGTCACTGCTACACAGTTTTACAATTGACTAGCAACTCCCAGTATTGATTAGCAGTTTTCCTTTATCAAAAGTTTACATGTATAACTTGTACAATAGCAGGATTTCGTACAGAAGAGGACAATAGCTGCAGTTGCTATTTGCTTTTCCAAGCGAATGTTCGACCTGAATATTTACGTTAGAGTTTTCGCTTGGGCACGTTACATGTTCAGCGTCCATCCGTCTTCGAGTTCTTCGCAACACAATGTCTTTCAACAGGGCAGTTCCACTGATTCCTTCGACAAAGAAACCTCAGGAAAGCGCTCAAACGATCGTAACATTTCGTGCAAAGCGCATCGCTTTTCTCCTTTTCTTCATCGAAACGAATCGACATTCCTGGCGCGTCCAGTTCTTTGTCCCTCTTCTGGACGGTGAATCACTGATCAGATTCACTGACATGATGGCTACATGAGACTAAGAACCTTCGACTTCAACTGTGCCTTGTCGAACAGAAACAAACTGAGCTTGACAGTGAAAGAAGAATGGAGAACATCAGGAAAAGTCACCGCCGTGTACAAAACTTCAGAAGACTGCAGTCATGTACGGCCAGTGCTAGTGCAGTGTCCAAAATCGAAAGAGCACGATCCGCGAGTCCGCGACCCGCGCGGACTGAGCAGGGCAGGCCAGTTGGTTGGAGTAGTAAAATAGTACTCCCTAGTCAGCAGTGTGTACAACAGTCGCATGATATGATGTAGACCGCACACAACTGGTCGTTGTAGTGCATCGCAGTTTTGGGCGATAAAAAACGAAAAGCGAATCGCAGCCAGTGAATTTTGATTCGCAAACTGCGATGCGAACCCGGATAAATCGATCCCTGCTATGCTAGGAGTATATAGCAGTGTTATTGTAGCTACATGTATGCCAGGAGTACATTGCACTGTCAGGGAGGTTTCAACAATACATGCTCGCGTGCCTCGTGTATTCTCTGCTTTGGGCAAGCTCGTGGAGAGCTGCATGTCCTAAGCCAAGAATTTGACTGTTCAGTCCCAGTGTGCATGCACTAAGAACGCCCTGCTTGTGCTTTGCTGCCTGCAGTACATTCAAAACGCCCTCAACATCCAGAGTCTGCCAGGATTGCGCAACCTGACTGGCCTGGAGAACTTGGCATTCTTTGGCGGCCTGCAGCTGGCCAATCTCCCCGAGCTGGTGTCAACGGAGGAGATTGGACGCAGCACTGGCCACTCACCATTCACAGCCGGGGCTGGTATCTTTGTGTCAAACTGTAACAAGTTGACCAGCCTGCGAGGGCTGACTGGTGTGTCCATCACATGTAAGCAATGCAAGCCCAGCACCGTGATGAATTACAAGCAGCCGATGCTTCCACCATGCCTTCATTCCATGCTTGGTGTTTTTAGTTACATGTCCAATCCCCTTTTGCTGGTTTAATACAATTCTCTATACAATATCATTAGTAGCAGTTGCTGTGTATAGACACCTGCTTCACCATGTTCAGGTACACCAGGCACCATGCATAAACTGTTCCGTTTCCAAGACTCCCATCGCCGTGTAGTTATTGCTTACCCAGTTTGGGGCTACAGGACAACTCATATCATGCTGCCACTCACTGGAGTTGTCTTTGCGTTTGGAGCAGTTCTCCAACTTCACAAATCAGATGATTGAAGCTTGTCTGTTGTGGTGTGTGTGTGTGTGTGCGTGCGTGCGCACGCGTGTTCATACATGTGTGCGTGTGTTGTTGTGTTGTAAATTCCAGCATCCATTTTCCTGGAGGACAATGAGCAACTGACCGATGTGGGAGGCATGAACACCATCCAGCGTGCCTCCGTTGTTGTGTGGGCTCGCAATGGCGGTGCAAGTATGACGGGTTTAACGGCGCTCACTACCATCACTGGCATGCTGCAGATATCTAGCAACCCTGTAAGTATGCTGATACGCCCCCCCCCCCCCCCCCCCAAACACACACACTGTATGCGTTGTGCTATCCTACATGTGCTCGGTAGGTAGAGGTGACGGACATGACACATCTACTCCATGGCTTTTACGTTAGAGGGCCTTCATTGCAGGTCGATTATAGTCTCACAATCATTATAATATGTTCCCTGAGACACAAGCTTCTGGCCAATCCATTACCAGCCGTGCCATTGATTCATACTGTCACCCTGCTCCAGGTATGGACATCATGGATGCGTTCATACAAATGATTGTTTTTTTAATTTTTTTTGATTGTCTGTGTTCAATGCAGAATCTTCTTGGCGTTCAAGGATTTGCCTCGCTGACGTCAGTTAGCTTTCTGATTGTGGAAAGCAATCCCGTCCTGAGACATCTGGATGGCCTGTCGCGTCTGGTTGCGTACGAGCGTGCTGTGTTCGTGAACGACAACCCTCTGCTCTGCTTCGTGTTCAGAGATACACTGGCTGCAGGCCTTGGTCCTGTGAGTTTTGTTCTTGCCTAGCCTGATAATGCAATGCACGTCTAGCACGTATAGGGTCATATGATTGTTACAGGCACTTGCAACTTTCTAGTGTGAAACAAGCACTGGATGCTTGCTGAAGACGTTTTTTTAGTCAACAGAGTGTTCGCAAGCGACACGGAACAGTGCCCCCTTTTTTCTCAGTTTCCACATGAAGTATAATGTATTGTGCATAACTTGTGTGTATTTGGAAATAGTTGATGTACGTATAGAAGGCAGCTGGTGATGGTGGTAGTCAGGTCGGTCACATAACTGCGCTGTTTTTAATCGGTGTTTTCTGTTTCCCGTTCTGCATTTCACCTGTGTTGCAGTTCAACGTACACACGCTCCTGGGCAGGAATGGTCAGTCCTGTGGCAATCGCTACTGCGCCGACGCAGCAGTAGGTACGCAGGCCTTCTCGGCCCTGGATCCCTGTCAGAACAACGGGCAGTGTCGCAACACATCCACTTCATTTACCTGCAATTGCACACAGGGCTATGCCGGGGATTTCTGCCAGCAGTACGACTACTGTGCAGAGACGCAGTGTGACTCGGTGGGTGCACTGTCATGCGAGAATACCGTAACCAGTGCAGTGTGCCGTTGCAAGGCAGGCTACTCTGGACCGCTGTGCTCGACGAACATTGACGAGTGCGCCTCCGACCCATGCCAGTCGGGATCGACTTGCTTGGACGGTGTCAACGCATACACGTGTCTGTGCACAGCAGGCTGGACGGGAGCGGATTGCTCCGTCGATATCGATGAGTGCCTCACGTCGCCGTGCAGGAACGGAGCAACGTGCATGAACCAGTCACCGCCACAACGCTACACGTGTACATGCCAGCCGGGGTACACTGGTCTCAACTGTGACTTGGACGTGGACGAGTGTAGTTCAGCACCGTGTGACTCACTAGGCAGCAGCGCATGCTTGAACCAGCTAAACAGCTACCAGTGCCAATGCCACGATGGCTTCAGCGGTGAGCAGTGCAGCACGGCAACCCAAGCAGTGCGTCGCCTTGCATCGTGCGGTGTTTTCGGCTACGATCTCCTTGAAGCTGTGCAGGTACCGGCAGGTACGTATCGTGTGGCACTCAACGGGTCACCGGACGCAATGCTCAGCGGCCAAGTCACCGCAATGCCCAGCATGCCATTCCTCTTCGGCTCATGGTTCTGGCTAGAACGTGGCGCCAACGGTATCCTCGTATCCTCCCACTCGGATTCTGGCATTGTTGAGTTTTCTGTTCAAATCAGGCATCAGCTTATCACAGTTTCTGGTAGAACTTGGCTTGCTTCTGACTTGACGGAGCGCCGATGGCATTATGTGACCGTCACTGGAAACAGCTCACATGTTACCGTCACGTTGGATGATCAAATTCTTGGCACACAGAGTGTAGCAAGTCCTATTTCTTTGGTCAGCCGCAATGTCCAGCTCGGTTCTCTACCCGATGGAAGCATGGCATTCAATGGCATGATACACAATCCAACTCTGTCGTTCGGCATTTCTTCTGCAGCGTCGCCACATGTTTGTTTGCTTGGCCAGGGTTCATCGTCCAGCTCGCAGTGTGGCAGCAATGGTCGCAGTGTTGATCTTCTTCACGGCCAGCTAGATTGCGTGTGTAATACCGGCTGGACAGGTCCGACGTGTGGTGTTCGACAAACCCAGGTCAGCTCCGGCGGCCAGGGGTCTATAGCGTACACGCTGTCCTCGCAACAGCAAACTTCCTCCTCTGTTTCCCTTGCACTGCGATCTGAGCCGAGCAGCACTACTCAGCAAGTCCTAAGCTTCCAGAGGTCCACAGGTGGTGGGGTACCAGGGCAGCTTCAGTCAGTACTGTTGAATATTGATAATTCTAGCAATGTGCAAGTGCTCATCAGTGAAACATGCTCCAGCACTTCATCCATTTCCATATCCTCCGATGTCGTCGTGACCGATGGTGCATGGCACAATGTTTCCGTATCCAGTATCGCGGTGGCGGGTACGGTCAGCCTCTCCGTGGATGGCGTGCAGCAGACGGTGTCGCTACTCAACGATGGCAATGCGGTTGGCTGCACGCCCAGCACAGCTCATCTTCAGCTGGGTCATGTTGTCACCGGTGTAAGTGGATGCTTGGACGACATCACGCTGGACACAGTGCCACTAGCTGCGACCAGTGCTAGTCTGTCTGGTGATGCGTCTCTGTCCTGCCAGCACGACACTGCTCGCTTCCACGGTCTCTCGCAGCTCAGATTACAGCCAGTCGACTGGAGCAGTGGCTTAGTGAACATGTCACTGCGCCTGCGCACTGCCTCCCCCAACGGTACACTCTACTTCATTGGTGGAGATAGAAATGATGCGCTGGCTGGCATTCCCACTGCATTCATCCTTCTGGAAGTTACCCGTGGATTCATGCAGCTTACCGCCAGGTTGAACGAGCTCGACTCGGTGACCTTACTCAATACAAATGTTAGAGTCGACAACAATGCATGGCACTCCGTGTCCGTCTACTACAACACCTCCACCTTTTCGCTCACTGTCGACAGTCGGCAAGAGTTTGCAGCAGTTTCGACACGATCCAGCACGACCGAGATCAGCATCAGCCAAATGGACGTGTGCTTCGGTGCCGTAACGGCTGACAAGCAGCTGCTGTTCAACACCCCCACCGTGTCAGCGGCGCTGGACGGCTGTGTACAGGACTACTACCACAATGGCCGCTTCATCAGCTTCTTCTCCAACGTAGCCTCTCACAATGTCGCTTTTGGCCAGTGCAATGTCTGAGACAATAATTATTGGCAGTGCTCTGATCAGGCCACTGGCAATTCTCTCCGTTTTAAACACCAGCTTCATGATGTTTTTTTATACAAATTCTCTCTGTCTCCTCCACTCCTCCGCTACCAGAATTGACTACAATGCTACGAAAAGTTTCCATACTCAGTCTACACAGTGGCCATTCTAAGCGGTGATACAATCACGTACATGTGTATGTCAAGATGTAGAGTTCATTTCTACAGTCAACTCTTTCTTTCTTCCTCCCTTCCTCTTTTTCCTGTCCTGATGTGCCTTGGTAGAACAACCACATTTATAAATTATACAGATATGGAGTACATGTATGTACTTCAACCCAACATGGTTGCCATGGTTGCATCTATTTCAATAGTACAGTACAGTGTGCTTGGCAATCACGTAACGACGTCGTTGTCAGAATGCAACCATGCTTTGTGAGTCGGTTTTCCCAAACATCCAGCTATTTCAGCGGTTTCTTGCTTTCCGTAGTCACGTGTGTGTGCGTGTGTGTGTGTGTGTGTGTGTGTGTGTGTGTGTGTGTGTGTGTGTGTGTGTGTGTGTGTGTGTGTGTGTACCATTCTTGTGAATTATTCAGTCATGCAAGCCTGAAGGTGTTGAATGGTGCAATCCTAGCACAAGTCGCTACACTGTGACTAGTAGTGCTAGCTTTGCCTCCAGCGATGGGCACACACAAACACTCGCCTCAGACCTGGGCTATCTGAGGCGCGCGCGCGCACGTGCACGCGTGTGTGTGTGTGTGTGTGTATGTGTGTTCGCTCTGGTGTAGATCTACAAAACTGTACCGCACAAGTGGTGTGGTTTGACGCTAAGCAGCTACAGTACTATAAATATACCCACATTGCCATAGTCAACACTCGGAACCGGGTCAGTTTGACTTCCACCAGAGAACCTCAGATGTGCCTCTGCCAGCCGCGACTGTTATCTCACTTGTCCACACATGCCACGATCGACCACTACAAGACTGTAACCATGGTAACTGAGTGTTATGAGAGTGCACCTTCGCACTCCGGCTTGGCGCTGGGCTTCACTGTTTTGAACTAATTACTTTCACGCCTTCAGCAGTTCAGGCTTCAGAGTGAAGGCGTTCATGGTAGATCTACAACACATTGTACACCTATCACTGAGTTATCCGGAACTACACAATACTACATGTACATACATGTAATACTACATACCGGTAGTGGGTAGTGGATAGGCCCTGACTACCTTTCACAGCCACCTACTACATGTACTAGTAGTAGTACATGTATCTGTCCCTCCAGGAAATCGCGATTCCACGGATGCAACAAATTTCGCGATTTTGGCCCAAACCCGCGATTTTCAGCAAAATCCGCGACTTCCCGCGTTTTTTGTTGTTTTCTGCACTATATCTCACAGTTTTATGCACTTTTCACGCAGTTCTTTCCATGATCCTGTAGGTTATTTGCACAGCACGACTCCCGAGTAGATATACGATGCAACAAATTTCGTGATTTGGCCCAAATCCGCAATTTTCTGCAAATTATTCCGCGAATTCCTGGCAAGTTCTGCATCATTCCGCACTTTTCGTCGCATTTTTTGTTACTTTCTGCCGCAAGTGTTCGAGAGTTTTTTCCGCAAATTCCCGCAGGGACAGAGTAGTAGTAGATTTACTAACGGTCGAGCTCCAGAAGAACTAGAATGCGGTTAGTTACGCTACCGGTATCTGTTTTTTTAGCTCTCGTCGACGAATCTTGTCGCTGTCGTGTAGATCTACATTATGTACTTTGTAGTAGTAGTCCGCTTCTAGCTCCAGTGGAGGATGCGCATTGCCATTGGTAAGCTGCCGTTGGTCTGGTCGCGTCGTGGAGTGGGACGTATTCAAGAGGATAGCTCTCGGCGTACAACTACTATTCAAGGCTTGATAATAATTATATTTTTTTAATTTTTGGTTGAAATCTACTCTTTAGTCCCCAACTGTTGACTTAGCACAGTTTTACAGGAGCGTTTCTTGTTCTCAGCCCTGCAGCCACAAAAGGAAGATACTTCATCGTGGCTGCCCTTGCATTCTTTGGGCAGCAAGTGTGCTGAAGAATATTCCCTTCGCTCCTCGTCTTCCACCCAGGCGGAAGTCAACGGAGGAGTCGACGACTTCCAAAGGCATACTTGCCGTTTACGGGCGGACCGGCCGTCGTGAAAGTCAACCCTCTACTCGTAGGTCTACCCGTGACTTGAGGAAATGCGGGCACCGGAGTTCCACGATCCAAGGAAGCATTGCACAGCGTCTCCCGAAGGCCCGACACAATGCATTGCGGCCGCTACAGTGTAATGCGGCGAATCCACTAGTACATGAGCAGTCCATATCCCCCCATATGCATGGGAGCGCAGGCCATTTCTACAGTCCTAGCGGTACAGAATCCGCTCGAGTCAAGGTCAACAGGAGAGGTTTGACAGGTGAGGAACGCAAACAACAGCATAGCATAATATGCTTAAAGGGGAAGTTAAGGCAAAAATTAAAATTTCACCAGTTGTAGTCTTCGGGGTGCCGAGTCGAATGGTCGTGGTCCGAGGAAGCTGAGACGCTCCATTCCTACTTGAATCCCAATCGAACTCGCGCACTTCCACCGAAACTGGGTGACTGCGCCCTACTAGATGGGGATTTGTATGCAAAATGTCACCAAAAGCGCCATTTCGTTCTTATAAAAGCATGGATGACCGCGATTGGCCCATATGTTGTAGTCTTTTGGACGCCGAGTCGATTGGTTTTGGTCCGAAAAGGCTGCGATGCAGCGTTCCTCCTTTATCGGCGAACATGGTTGAACAAGCGGTCACGTGCTCCTGCGTACGCCAGTCACCTGGTCACCGTGCCTGCAGGGTACAACTTACTAGCCTGTTTGACCTTTATTTGGGTGCCGTCCTGTCACTCGAGTTGAACCTTGGTGTGAAAGTTGTCGCCTGCTGGCGTGGTGACCAGGCGATTTGGGCACCCAGGAGCACGTGACCGCTTGTTCAACCATGTTCGATTGGGAATAAAGGAGGAACGCTGCATCGCAGCCTTTTCGGACCAAAACCAGTCGGCTCAGCGTCCAAAAGACTACAACATATGGGCCAATCGCGGTCATCCGTGCTTTTATAAGAATGACATGGCGCTTTTAGTGACAATTTGCATACAAATCCCCATCTAGTAGGGCGCAGTCACCCAGTTTATATATTTATTACAACAATTACATCTCAAGACTCGGTGGAAACACCGGCCAATGTTAAGAGAGTGGGAGATTGCCAACCACGGCGATAAATAAAAGTAAGGGGAGGGAAAAAGAAGGAGTAGCAAAATGAACAGCAACAACACGTTTCGGTGGAAGTGCGCGAGTTCGATTGGGATTCAAGTAAGAAGGGAGCGTCTCAGCTTTCTCGGACCAAGACCATTCGACTCAGCACCCCGAAGACTACAACTGGTGAAATTTTAATTTTTGCCTTAAGGGGGCTCAGTACTTCTGCGCGCGCATCGAAATCTGGGCATGATTTTATGCAAAATTTCGCGTTTGAAAACATTTTGTCCGCGGCTGGAGAAAGTTTTTTTGCGAGAAATAGTCGTGTTCAAAAGTTTATTTTGCGAGAATTCAAAGAAACTGCAGTCCTTGAACAGTTTGAACGTTTTGTGTTTTCCATTTTGGTTTGCTGGATGTCGGCGATCGATGGAGCTATGGAGCTTCGTGTCAAGTACTTGTAGTTATCAATAGGCACGGCCGTTTTCGTGGGCGCTCAGGAACAAAGCGTGTTCAATCTTCTTCAGGTCGTGTAGTTCTAACTTCCAGCTCAGATATGCCCTTTTCTCAGTCTCGCCTGCCAGTGAAGACAAGTAAACCTGCAAGATTGTCCAGAGCCCAGCTACCAGTGATACATGTATTTAGTCTCAGAACGCAGGTAAGTGACATGCTTCTCTCAAGTTCAAGTGCATCCACTTGAGTGGCACTTGGAACGATATCTATTTTTTCTTTTCCAGTCGCCAGATAAAAATATTACTGACGACTGTGAGAGAAAAACTGGTCTTGTACCTGCAGTACCTGGAGATAGTGGAGTCAGAGTGTAGTGTCTGCAAGTAGAGACTTGATCTCTGTGAGTAATGAGTGTGGTCTGGAACAGCCAGTAGGAACAGCACAGCGACATGCCAGTGAAGTGTTCTATGTGTGGGCAGGAGAATTTGGTCAGACATGTGAGTCTCATGCTGGATGGAGTGGAAAGCATGGATCCTATGAACTCTAAGGCTGCACTGGGTGAGTTCTGACCTGTGCCTGTGTTTCTCAGGAGAAGGCTGTGGGTTCAAGGTAGTATGGCTGTGCTTGTATCATTGAACTATGACAGGAATCTGTATATATTATAAAACTGAATATTGAAATATTGGCAATATGCCTTGTAGAACAACTTGAGCAGAGACAGTCACAGACACGTAATATTATGCATGGTCAAGTTGCCACATTTTCATGAGCTCGGCCTTGACCTAGACTGTAAATGCAGCATAAAAGTGTTATGCATGTTGTGAAGAACTGCAATATTACCCAGGCAAGGCAAGGCAAGGAATGTCAACTGAAATCATGAATCACAGCAGTACACATTGCAGCACTAGTCAGGCTTCTGTCACAGTCTCAGCAAACAAGCTGGAGTGGGCGTTTCGCTGCAACATGGGTGTTTGTAGAAGTCTAAATATTCTTCAACAACAACAACGTTATATATCATGCCTACAGGTACAATCATCTGGTGTTGGCATTTGAGAGGAATCAGGGAACTGGCATCCTTGGATTATTGCACGAACCGGGTGGCGATGGGCGTGTGCTAGTCACAACGAGTTCTGCTATTGCAAAACGCATAACACATCATCTAGCATCTGGAAGACCCAACACCAACACCCCTATTTTACACACTGCTCCAGACCGCACAAGTACTCCAGCAGCTGCAGGAGGTGCAGCATCGTCCCCACTTTCTACCACTCGTGATGATGCTGCAGTTATCTGCTCAAACATTCACGTTGTGCTGCACACTGGAGGCGCGAACCCACAATACCAACAGTGGCTGCTAGCCATCGCATCCAGCAGTAACCAAGCAACTCAAGTTGCTCATTGACAGCGTTATACTTATAATCCGTTGTTTTGTACATTTGATATACCCATGCATGTATGTATGTATGTACATTATATTATGTATGTACATCACAATATACAACAAAGATGTGAATAACACAATTCAGTTGTGACTGTTGCATGTGGTATTGTCTGGGATTGGTCTATAGCAAATGCTTCTCGCCCTACATAGTCAAAGTGAAGCTTGAATGAAGTCGATACACTCATTTTGGCAACAATGCTGAATCTGACTTTCAAGCTGAATATGCAAAATCCGTCACAAATTTTGTTTCTCACGGAGAAACGAGATGGTAGACATAAAAATCTATTTTTGTAGAGCCTTCCTATGGCCTTGAAGAGCAGATAATGACCATAAAATGGACCA